GTGCTCCCAGTCCCGCCCAGTCTGTCCCACAGCGTCTCCCATCCCAGTCCCGCCCAGTGCTCCCAGTGCTCCCAGTCCCGCCCAGTCTGTCCCAGTGCTCCCAGTCCCGCCCAGTGCTCCCAGTGCTCCCAGTCCCGCCCAGTCTGTCCCAGTGCTCCCAGTCCCGCCCAGTGCTCCCAGTGCTCCCAGTCCCGCCCAGTCTGTCCCAGTGCTCCCAGTCCCGCCCAGTGCTCCCAGTGCTCCCAGTCCCGCCCAGTCTGTCCCACAGCGTCTCCCAGCCAGCCCTGCCTCCAGTGCTCCCAGTGCCTCCCAGTCCCTCCCAGTCTGTCCCACACTGCCCATTCCCCAGCCAGCCCTGCCTCCAGTGCCTCCCAGTGCTCCCAGTCCCTCCCAGTGCTCCCAGTCCCTCCCAGTCTGTCCCAGTGCCCACCAGTCCCTCCCAGTCTGTCTCACACCGCCCATTCCCCAGGCAGTCCTGCCTCCAGTGCTCCCAGTGCTTCCCAGTCCCTCCCAGTCCGTCTCACACCTCCCATTCCCCAGGCAGTCCTGCCTGTCCTGCTTCCAGTGCTTCCCAGTCCCTCCCAGTTCTCCCAGTCCCTCCCAGTCTGTCCCACAGCGATTCCCAGGGAGCCCTGCCTCCAGTGCTCCCAGTGCTTCCCAGTCCCTCCCAGTCTGTCCCAGTCCCTCCCAGTCTGTCCCACACCGTCTCCCAGGCAGCCCTGCTTCCAGTGCTTCCCAGTGCCTCCCAGTCCCTCCCAGTCTGTCCCACACTGCCCATTCCCCAGCCAGCCCTGCCTCCAGTGCCTCCCAGTGCTCCCAGTCCCTCCCAGTGCTCCCAGTCCCTCCCAGTCTGTCCCAGTGCCCACCAGTCCCTCCCAGTCTGTCTCACACCGCCCATTCCCCAGGCAGTCCTGCCTCCAGTGCTCCCAGTGCTTCCCAGTCCCTCCCAGTCCGTCTCACACCTCCCATTCCCCAGGCAGTCCTGCCTGTCCTGCTTCCAGTGCTTCCCAGTCCCTCCCAGTTCTCCCAGTCCCTCCCAGTCTGTCCCACAGCGATTCCCAGGGAGCCCTGCCTCCAGTGCTCCCAGTGCTTCCCAGTCCCTCCCAGTCTGTCCCAGTCCCTCCCAGTCTGTCCCACACCGTCTCCCAGGCAGCCCTGCTTCCAGTGCTTCCCAGTGCCTCCCAGTCCCTCCCAGTCTGTCCCACACTGCCCATTCCCCAGCCAGCCCTGCCTCCAGTGCCTCCCAGTGCTCCCAGTCCCTCCCAGTGCTCCCAGTCCCTCCCAGTCTGTCCCAGTGCCCACCAGTCCCTCCCAGTCTGTCTCACACCGCCCATTCCCCAGGCAGTCCTGCCTCCAGTGCTCCCAGTGCTTCCCAGTCCCTCCCAGTCCGTCTCACACCTCCCATTCCCCAGGCAGTCCTGCCTGTCCTGCTTCCAGTGCTTCCCAGTCCCTCCCAGTTCTCCCAGTCCCTCCCAGTCTGTCCCACAGCGATTCCCAGGGAGCCCTGCCTCCAGTGCTCCCAGTGCTTCCCAGTCCCTCCCAGTCTGTCCCAGTCCCTCCCAGTCTGTCCCACACCGTCTCCCAGGCAGCCCTGCTTCCAGTGCTTCCCAGTGCCTCCCAGTCCCTCCCAGTCTGTCCCAGTGCCCACCAGTCCCTCCCAGTCTGTCCCACAGCCTTCATTCCCCAGGGAGCCCTGCCTCCAGTGCTCCCAGTGCCTCCCAGTGCCTCCCAGTCCCTCCCAGTCTGTCCCACACCACCCATTCCCCAGGCAGCCCTGCTTCCAGTGCTTCCAGTGTTCCCAGTCCCTCCCAGTCTGTCCCACAGCACCCATTCCCCAGGCAGTCCTGTCTCCAGTGCTTCCAGTGTTCCCAGTCCCTCCCAGTCTGTCCCAGTGCTTCCCAGTCCCTCCCAGTCTGTCCCACAGTGTTCCCCAGGCAGCCCTGCTTCCAGTGCTCCCAGTGCCCACCAGTCCTTCCCAGTCCCTCCCAGTGCCCACCAGTCCCCACCAGTCCCTCCCAGTGCCCACCCCTCCCCCCCCCAGTCTGTCCCACACTGCCCATTCCCCAGCCAGCCCTGCCTCCAGTGCCTCCCAGTGCTCCCAGTCCTCCCAGTGCCTCCCAGTCCCTCCCAGTCTGTCCCACACCACCCATTCCCCAGGCAGCCCTGCTTGTCCCGCTTCCAGTGTTCCCAGTCCCTCCCAGTCTGTCCCACAGCCTTCATTCCCCAGGGAGCCCTGCCTCCAGTGCTCCCAGTGCCTCCCAGTGCCTCCCAGTCCCTCCCAGTCTGTCCCAGTGCCCACCAGTCCCTCCCAGTCTGTCCCACAGCCTTCATTCCCCAGCGAGCCCTCCCTCCAGTGCTC